AAAATTGAAAAGAAAGAAGGTGAACTACAATTTTCTTGTTGTTTTAGATATCCAGTTATAATTTCAATTGAAAATCACTGTTCATCTGAATACAGACGAGTTATGGCGAAAATGTTTGTGAATATATTTGGAGGTATATTTTATATATTTATTTAACTCTCTGTGGTAACAACTTTTTACTGTATTCCAAAAAATGGCCGACTGGATAAGGATTAACGAGGAGAAGTCTTCTCTATATAGGAATAAAAACTTTTCAATGGAACTATCTATCTAGATATAGTGTGAAATGATGATTCTCTATTAGATCAGAAAAAGAAACCTTTTCATACATGAGACGATTAGTGTTCAAAGTCATTGACATCTATTTAGATAATTTACTTCGCTCGTCTATTACACAAAATGAAACTAGTCTTCCGTCTCCTTCTCAACTTAAAAATAAAATTATTTTAAAGGTAACGGTATTGCTGGCTGTGTTCTTGTTAATCAATTAAATATTCTAGCTCATTGCTTATTAAACTAAAGTTATGATTGAAACATATATCTCCTTTCTAAAAATTATTCTTAATGAACTTTGTCTATTTTAGGATGCCAAAGCTGTTACGGATGCAATTGAAAAACCAGAATCATTTCATATTTTACGTGAAGGTCTAGTAGATCTGTATGATACTTCTAAAAAGGTGAGCATGTTAGTTAGTATAAGTGAGATAAAGAGAAAGATAAGTATATCATTTCATTATTTCAGCAATGGATTTGTTATAAATATGGCATTACTGATCAGTATTTAATGTTATCTAAAGAAGAAATTCCGGATGAAAATTATTTTTTAATGGATTTAAATCAAAACCCATCGTTAACATCTGGAGAAAATAATTGTTCTAACGATGATGACGAACCAACACAAATTTGGTATCACGGTGAAATGTCGCATGAAGAAGCCCATAAATTATTGACATCAAATTCTGGTTACTCACCAGGAACATTTTTAATAAGAAAAAGTGATAGACGACGATGTTATTGTGTAACACTTTTGTGAGTATCACTCTT